ATATAGTTGTTTTTGGTTATTAACCAAATTCAGCCCGATGTTTGCATAAATTCAACTTTGCAATTCCAAACCCAGCTTGAAATCCCAGGGTCCCAAGACCAGTATGGTGGAAATAAGATGTTTCATCAGCCTGTGCAAAGCTGGCAAGATAAGTTTTATTTTTTAACCGACAACACACTTCAAGCGTGTCACAGTGTGATGACTTTTTGGATTTTGAATTATTGAGCTGTAGTTTTTGGATCTAGCTTGTGCCAGAAGAAAAAAGGAATCGGTAAGCATCGGGAAGGTCAAGTAGTTCTTGAATTCGTTCCTGGTTTGAGCCTGGCTTCTTCCCAAATTCAGATTGAAATTCAAGCAAAATTCAAGCAAATCAGCCTGAAACTGTGAAAATTCCATAAAATTGCCTGAGATCACCCTCAGACCAAAATTTCAGTCTGAGACCCTAAAAGTCGATCTTTATCCATATGTCCAGTTGGAGTTCTGGGGTATCAATCTTTCCATCGAGGAATCGTTCTTTTCAGGTTACGATTTCGACACGTGTCAACTGGTGCCGCTGTGCGCTGGTTGGTTCCCCAAGAATTGATTCATGATCATGCCAATTCCAGGTCACTCTTGGTTTAGAGTCTAAGAGGATTGTAATGAGCGAAACAAGAACTGCAAAGGCGGAAGGTACGCATAAATAATTACATAAAACATATGAAAATCTATGTGTCATTCTCTACTTGGCACTGAGTCGATGACGGCAGACAGCAGACATTAACCTCATGAAAGTAAACCATCAATGTCCAGGAGACAAGTCTCATGCGTTGCCGCTGCACTATCTAAGGAGAATCAGGGGCCTTTTGTTGCCTAGGGCTTCGCAGGGGGAACCCTTGACCCTTGGATTCAGGTGGAGAAAAACAACGGTTTCCTTGAGATTTTCGCCTGACTTTTCATCCGCGCGATTTTCTAAAAAGTTGGTGGTGTACGCCGTGCACCTTCTTGGGATGGACTAGCTTCGCCATGCCGCGCGATCCACTGTCCACTTTGGTCTATGCAGTACAACGTGGCCACTGTTTTCGTGTAGGGCTCTTATTCGCACCTGGCAAAGTCAGCCAACCAGCAGAAGGAGAAAAACGGCAGATACAGAATTCACAAACAAGAAACAATGGCATGCCACTTTGGGACCCACCAGCCAGAATGTACCTACTATATTGACCAGTACATATATAAAAATATCTTCTACATTGTATATTGATACTTGGTGGCTGGTCCCAGTTAGTAAATAGGTTTTAACCCCAGTTACTAAGTGAATCAACCTTACAGATCCATTTGTAACCATGGGTATAACCCATTTACACCAGCACCCAGCCGCTGAGATGCGCATCAAGTTCTTGAGGTTGGAACTGAACGCTGCCCCAAAGCCGAACGTTCCGACCGTCGGGCCGAACGGATCCAGTGGGCGCCGGCAGGCTGGGGTTCCAAGGTTGGTAAAAGGCAGATTTTTTTTTCAGTTGTGGGGGGTAGAATTCCGAAGATGCGTTAATATATCCATGATACAATATTTACGTCATGATATTTTATTCGAATCACTTAGGTGCATTGGTGACATGATTTGGTATTTCACTGACACACAACGACGCACACACCCCAAAAAAGATCATGACATATTAACTCATTCAATATCACTCACCATTTTTGCCAATGACATACCCTCATAATTACGAAAGATCCCTAGCGGGGCACCCAAGGTTCACCATGAAAAGTGAACCATGAAACTCCAATGTTTGAGCGGAGCAACCCCAATGCGTGGGTGAAGTCGCCCGCCAACCCACGGCGCACCGCAGTTCACATTAATTTTCGTGACGTTTGAAACTTTGAAATGACTGTTTTTTATCCCCCCTGAAAGTCAGAGTTTATGACCTATCCAGTAACTATACTATATGCCCATTTGTTTACCTTTGCTGTTGAGAATAGAAGTTTGCTCGTTTATTTTGCTGATTCAATCCCCATGTGAGCCATTAAACATAACCTTGTTGTTTGGTTGGTAACAAGGGTGATGCATGGTAGTTATAGGCATGCGGCTGATACGCCGCCCTTAGAAGGGCTGTTAATTTTGAGATGTGCCATTTACGATCCATTCGAAGGGTTGCAATTTTGAAAAATGAAGGTTTTCAAAATGGGGGTATAGGATTTGATTTTTGGCGTTGCTAACATGTTGCACATGCTGTCGTATGATCACCAGGGGGTTGGGGGTTGTATTAACGTCTTTGACGAGTACTTCCCTTACGTTACGGAACGTTGCCGTTGTTAACATGTTGCACTGGCTGTCGTATGATCATCAGGGGGGCGGGTTGGGGGGGTGTATTAACGTCTTTGACGAGTATTTCCTTTACGTTACGGAGCATGTTGCCGATGTCAACATGTTGCATTGGCTGTCGTGTGATTATCAGGGGGGTGGGGGGGGTGTATTAACGTCCTTGACGAGTACTTCCCTTCCGTTACGGAACATGTTGCCGCTTTTGACCATAGAGCCAATGTTGCTGGTACTCAACAAATGCATGGTACATGGAAACACTTCAAAACATGGAGACCAATGTCCATGCTCCACAAGAAAAACCAGCAAGTGTACCAAAAAAAGATACACTTGGGCTTGCAGCTGGACATGGCGTCATAACGTCGCCTTGTTGCAGTCTGTGGCTGCTGCGTTGACAAAAGCGCTCTGGCACTGAAGCGTTGAGAAGAAGGAAAAAATGGATGAGTGAATGTCGGCCTGATATGACTGGGATGATTGAAAATCAAAAATGTCTAACGTGTTTTTTTTTTGCCCTTGAAGAGCAAAATCGATCCACTACGCAGGCGAAATGCAAATTTTTACACTTGAGTCACACGCCTGCCAATCGAAATGAATGTCCATATTGCAAACATTTTTTGACAAGTCCTGCGAATACCAGCATGTTGTCTCTTAGCCTCAAACATCATAATTTTAAATTCATCACCCTTACAAGGGCGGCGAGTCAACCGGTTGCCTAGTTATACTAACAAATTTCTTGCAAATCACCATAATCACTAATATATATTATATATCTATCTATCTATCTATCTGTCTGTCTATCTATCTATCTCTGTCTGCCTGTCTATCTATCTATCTATCAATCATTCTATCTATCTATCTATCTACCTATCTATCTATCTATCTCTCTCTCTCTCTCTCTGTCTCTCTCTCTCTCTCTCACTCTCTCTCTCTCTCTATCTCTCTATCAAAGTCTCTATCTAGTCTCTATCTAAGTCTCTATCTAAGTCTCTATCTAAGTCTCTATCTCAGTGGATCTATCTATCTATCTATCTAATCTAATCGAATCGAATCTAATCTAATCTAATCTAATGTAATCTAATCTAATCTAATCTAATCTATCTATCTAAACATTTAACAACCCGTATACCGGGATGGCACCGTTTTATTTTTTGTGGTTCATTTGGGTATTTCAATTCCCCTCCCCATGAAGTGTGACGGTGACGTTCGGCGCCGAGGGCCGTTTGATCTTGGCTGAGCCGGAGTTCGACCCCAATGGACACCAGTGGGCGAAGTAAAACCCGAACCCGGAAATGGTTGTGAGTTCATGGGGGCCTAGCCATGATTTAGAGGGGCTTTAAACATATTCATCATAAATACGGGAGCAGGGAACAGGTAATTGACATGATGGTATGTTGATGAATTGTTTTTCGGGCTTGTTAGTTTACCTCCTACATAGTGCGGGGGAATATCATGATCATATCCCACTATTGAGAATCCCAGCCATTCTTTGAGGGATTGTCCATGTGATTTGTGATGCCGTAAGCTCCTTGAGAATTGCAAAAACCACAGTGAAAATAGATGGATCCAAACTTGCTCACTCCAACTCCGGTGAACAGTAACCATTTCCGAACAGGGATCGTCATTGGAAATCTGAAGTTTTAGCATGTTTTAGCACAGGCGCTTCTGGGCGTCGCTGGGCGCCCCAATTCGATGACCCAAACCTTGCGATGCAGGGAAAAAATGCTGGCTGCATGGGTGGGTCGGGCTATACAGATAGCTGGCCGGGTCGTATAAATGATGGTTTCTACATGGGGGACTGCTCCAAGATGCATTCATTGTGGGGAACGGATATGGGAACGGTTCGCTCGTGTTATTTCGATGGGACCGTCGGATTTCGATCATTATTTGGTGCGCACCCATCAGCCATCGTGTGTTTTTGGCCATTATCTTACTTGTTTACTTGCCACGAAGGGTGTCAACCCATAGACATGAAATTTTTGAGATAACGAAATAAGTGGCCATTTCAGGAACCGATTTATTGGAAGTACCTACCATATGTAAGGTCTATAGGGCCATGTAAGGGGATATACCTTAAGATATACTGCCAAAATATGGTTACAGTGCCTTCTGGTACCTGAAATGGCGACGAAATGTTGTTCCTAACATTTGAAAAACCACCATCTCGCTCTCAAAATTGCGGGGTTTTCCATGGAAAGGTGCCACTTTAGCTGTTTTTTCATTGGCGGCCTCCTGATGATTCTCAAAATTGGCCACGATCTTCTGGTCGAAAGCACCAGTTTTCCACGGCTTCAAAGTGCTGCAGCAGCTCATCGTTTCATGCCAAGGTCACGGACAGCCCTGGAAATCACAAAGTGAATTCAGGACAATTCCAACGACCTTGCTGGTTGGAAAAAGACAAGATGACCTCTCCACAAATGACATTTAGGATTCGAAGGATGATGTTTATGACTCAGGTTTGGGAAGAATTTGCTGTTCTCAGCTGAATCACTTCAGAAGATATTTTCAGGATGGGTCCTATTCTGCAAACCAACTGACCCAATTTATTTGGGCAGCAACGTAATACTCTCCGCGAGTTTCACATGGCAATGGTTTATATCTCAACCAAGAGAACATATCTTTGAATGGGAACATATGGGGAAATCATCAGTAATCATTATCATCATTCTATGAGTTTCCAGTCATCCTGGCCACCGAAAAAGGGCCAGGAAAATAGGCATTCACAAAGTCACCAGCACTGGTGCCATGCTCCGAATCTGCAGTGGAGGATGGAGCTGCTCGGAGGATGTTTAATATGTTTATAAAATCCAGATTTTTTCTTGTTCTTCTTTGTGACCCGCCCCTCTTTTCTTGAACCTTTCAGTTGCAAGTTGGTTTGAAAGAGCATCAACTTTGGACACATCAGCCATTATAGCCATTAAACCCAAGAGTTTTTGGAGTTACTCGTTGAAACCAACTACTAGCGGTTTCACTCGACCTGCACCAGCTGATTCACTCCCCTTACATGGCTTTTCCAGGCCATGTCAACATTGGTGGGGCAGAGTAGGGATCCATGATGATCGCGAGCCTCAAGCCCTCGCCTTCTGCAAACGTTGGGATGTGATTTGGTCCTGGCTCCCTGTGGTCACTGGCTTCCTGCTGATGTCTGAAAACTTGCGGCAGTGCCTGTGGAAGTGCAAACAGCATTGGCCAAGGATGGATAAGATGATGCTGCTGCCAATCGCGGCCTTTGGAAGTTCGATCTTTCCCATCTTTTATAACCATTGGATGCTGTTCATGTATGTGAACGACCATTGGTACCTGGTTGACATTGGTGGACGTGTTCAAACTTTCAAGCCCTTTAAGACGATCTATTCTCATTCCAGGTATGGATCAAAATTGGGTACCCCTCAAAATTGGATGGCCATACCCAGTTGAGAAAAGGATCCGTACTGGTCAGTTTGGTTACCTTTCAGGTATGGGATTGCACCCAGGCCTGCTTTCGGTTTTCACAGAAAACATGTGGGGCTTCGGTTTTTGACATCAAGCCAAATATTGGAACTAGCCAGGGTGCTTCAGGGGTGAAGACGCACCCGGAGCCCGGCAACAAGGTGGTTCCCCAGTTCGTTACCCAACTTGGCTTATAACACCAATAATTAACTAGGACTACATTTGGTAGATATATCATAGTTAATGGGTTTATAACCCAGCTTATAGCTGGGGGCACCACATTGCAGGTACAGTCTATTTCCAGTTCAGCTTCTCTTTACGGTCACGGACAACGTCGCCTTAGTCCTGCGTTTCTGCGACGTGTTGCCGGAGGTGCGTCTGGCGATTCACAGCTGTCACCTGCTCTTCCTCTTGGTCGTTGAGAGCGAAGCGTTGAAACTTGGAACGTAATGTCAACCCCGGATTAATAAACCATGGTTTATTAATTAAGGGGGTACTCCTCCAATAGTCATAATCTGATACTTACATGGTACCCCCCCCCAATTAACCAGCCTAAGGGTTTATTAATCCAGGGTTGACATTTGAAAAATACCTCCAGGATTCGACTCCATAGGGTTCCAACAAAAAGCCTTAGCTTAGCCTCTGGTAATGACTAACATAACGAACTGGAAAGATCCACCATGTTTAATGGGAAAATTCACGAACTCAATGGTGATTTTCCATTGTTATGTTAGTCATTACTAGACCTGGAACGTCTTAGAACCATTTAAGGGTGCCTTGAATCGCAAAGAAATGGAGATTTATCCATAGATTTAATGGAACTGCAATGTGTTTAGCCATCTACCTTGTGTTTGGTCCGTCACTTTGAGGCACACTTGGTCTTTTTGGCGGGGAGAGATATACCTTGTTGGGCCAAAAAAAACGCAACATATACCCTCTGGTAAACTAACATAACTATGGAAAATCACCATTTTTAATGGGAAAATCCACTATAAATGGTCATGTTCAATAGCTATGTTAGTCATAACCAGAGGGTATCCAATGATGAAGTGGTGGTTTGGTCCGTCACTTAAAATGCCACATTTTGCAGCCACCGGACATTGGATGATCAGCCCTGACGTATGGATTTTTTTTGGGGGATAGGATTGGAATAGGAGAAGGTCTGAAAGATACAAGTATGGAGAAAAATGATGAAAAATGCATATGTCCAGTTCAAGAGCTTTTATTATACTACTTGCATCTACTTGCTCAGAATTCATGTGTTTTTTTAAATGGTGCCAAATCTCAGGCAATGGTTGGGTTTGCACCACGGGGATTTGAATATTCCCATGGGAAACTCACACCTCAGTTTGGGTCCTTGGCACAGGAAGTACATTGGTTTCATCATCGACGACTCGGTGGGTTTGGCCTACGCCTTGTGGTATCACCCAGCATCCCAGGCCGGCCAGGCCTACCTTCGGGTGCCCCCGGAGGTCCTTGGAAGGTCCGAGCCCGCCGATGCCGATGCCGAGGACGTGTCGAAGGAGCGAGCTGTTCGAAGTGGGCCGATCTCGTGGGGAATTCCTCGGGCATTGAGGTGGTGGATTGTTGCTGGGTTCTGATTTACAATGGTCTTTGGTGCGCGTGGCAATGGAAAATCACCAAGGAAAACATGGGAAAAATAAAAAATCAACACATATTCAGATACATGGGGGGATTTGCTGCCAGAGTAATGTCAACCCCGGATTACTTGATTATCAATTGGGGGTTCGTAATCATTAATCCTGGGTTAACATGGAAGATTCCCAAGACATTGGATGAGGATCCCTACTTGATTCATTGTTGGGATACATAGTTTGGAGGGTGAAATATGGTCATGAAAGCCAGGATCATGAACCCCATGAAGCCCGAGATGATGACTCATAAGTTTCATGTTGATTCATGGCCGGGGATGAAATCTTAACATATCTTGACCATTGTTGTAGACGATGTTCTCGGATTTTCCCAAGCAAAATCATCCCCAAGGTTGCCGCCACAGTTCTGCTCATGGCACTCATGAGTTTGCTGGTTCGGAGCCACGCCGAACGCATCACCCGTCTCTAGTCAGGCCTGGCCTCCAGTCGTTGTCGTCGACTCCTGGAAAAGAGCCGTTGAAAGTGGTCAGGTCACATGGACACCACCATCAAAAATGGGGGGTGTTGCCAAGTTGAAGCAGCAAGAGCGGATGTTTACCATCAAACATAATACCCTCTGGTAAACTAACATAGCTATGGAAAATCACCATTTTTAATGGGAAAATCCACTATAAATGGTAATTTTCAATAGCTATTTTGACATAACCAGAGGGTAGATGTTTTCCAGTAAATTTTCCATCAAACCAATTCTGGTAAGCGCGGTGAAGCCAATCATGGCGCTGGCACTTGGGAGATAGGAACCATTTCAGGTCGAATTTTACAGATGGCTTCACACGCCAAGTGGTCCAGTTGGGTTTCCCAGCCAGTTCCTAGGGCGATTGGACTTTTTGATTTGTCCGGAAATGCACAGGGAGCCCATTTTTTGGTCAAGACTCAAGTCCCATGGGAAATCCATGGAAATCCAAAATTGGGGATGTTTGATGAGGCGGGCCTCTTGTACTCCGGTATTGCTCGCAGCTGGGGCCCAGCTTCTTAGAAAATACATGAAAAGGCCACGAGAAGCAGTGCGATAGGTGCAGACATATGCCAATGGATGCTACCCAGTAAGCTACCCATTCCTAATCAAACTTGCCATTGCAACATAATCACTGACTCACCAGCTTTTTCATCGACATTTCTGGACATTTTCCAATCCCAAAGGACAGTAATTTTGGGCCGGTATTCGCCGGGTTTGCCAATATTATATAATTTCCAGCTTGAAAAAGATGGAATGGCATTCTGAATCACATTGGCAAAAAAATGCATGATCCTAACCTCGTTGTTCTTTTCTGTTTGGCTGCCCGAATGGGTGACATTTGGCTTCTTGAACATTGTACTATAGTACCGTACCATTAAATTCACTTGTTAATCATCATGTTCGGCGTCCGCATTGCAAGTGTTCGGACATAATATAATCATCACATTTTCAGCACCAGCCCCAATAATATAATTTTTCATGATACTCAGAATCCCATTTTATACAATATCCCGCCATACCATCAGGGTTAGCTGGATCTCGTTTTTTTTTTTGTGCTCAAAATCTCCATAAACTTCTGGAGCTCGGGGGCATCTAAGTCCATTTTTCGACATGTCAGCCTCTGCTTGATGCCGATGAACCACCTGCCGCGTCGTCAAGGACAGAGCTACCCAGGGCGAAGGATGGGATTAGCCAGTCAATTCACAGTTTGACCCCGCCATGAGCCGGGGTTGGAAGATGAGTAAAACAGTGAAACCACTAAAAAAAATGGTTAACCATGGTTAAGAGTGGAAACGAAGCCTCATCTTCCAACCCCTGACTCATGGCAGGGTCAAACTGTGAATTTATTTTCTAGAGGGTATAAGGGGATGAATCTGGAAAATGAACCCAAGGATTTTTTAAGGGGATTTAGTATGGGTACAAAGCAATTATCAATTGTGTGAGGTGGTGCCCCCCCAGTTGTTGGTTTATGTTGCCCCCATCAGTTCAATATATCATCTACATCCACCCACTATAAAGCCAGTTTCTGGACTGATGTGATGTTTGCCAACTTCGCCAATGAACTGGGGCACCCACGCCAATTTTTCAGGATCACCTAGGGTTTCAGGATGAATATGACTGTAACGTCACTGGAATGATGGTTAGGATTCGGGGAATCATCCCCAAATTGTTTTTCTGTAGTTTTTTTTTTCAGGCTAGTGAACTACTACAATTCACCCACATAAATTCTCGAATTTTCGCTGTATAATTACCAGTTGTTTTAATTTAACAACTTTGAAGTCGTTTTTGCCTCAATCTTTTTGAGGATTTGTTTTGCAGTTGGATTTCTTCATCTGATTTCAATGTGTTTTGTTTCCAACTGACAGTCATTCAACCGCCCAAATAGCCGTCAGGAAAAGTTCTTGTGGAAGGCTATGGTGGAAGAGGTCAGTCAGGGCAACCCGGGTGTAGTATCATAGCAACCTCGAAAAAGAGAACCCGATATAAGCCGATCCCAAAATAGTGTTAAACGGTTAAACGGTTAAACTGTTAAACAATTTTTCTCTCGTTTTAAGGGCTACTAAAGAATCAACCTGTTGGTTTATCAGGGACGCCGGTAGGGATGGATGATTTTTCTTGGGGGAAACTTAGGATGACAATTATTGGGCAATTTAATTTGTTTGGAAACTTGACTCGGATTGGAATTACCGTACTTCTATGGGCTTAAAGTTATCGACTCCCAAGTGGAACCCTGCAGGGTGGCTATTCGGAACCGGACCGCGGTGACCTTGAAGCCATCACTCTGAAGGAGGACCGCTGATTTGACCATGAAACATGGTGATTTTTGATAGGTTTTTCAGCCCTTGTTTTTTGAGATGTTTGGGGATTGATTGATTCATGGTGGATTTTTCTTCAGATTTGGGGGTTCGAACGAAAAATGGTTGACTTTTCAACCAAGTCGGGTTGTTTTCCAGCCACCAGTCAGTGGTGAGCCCATCCGGATTTAACCATCAAACATGGGGATTTAACCCACAGCAAAAATGTTGGTAAAATGGAGATATATGATGAAAATCAAATGGGCAATTCCGAATTCCACATTGGCTTCGAGGATTTCCTCATCAAAACCGCCATTTCTTCAAGATATTTTCCATTACCATGTTTGATTACCGGAGGGTATGCCCTCAAACTTGGCAATTTATGGAAAAACAAAAAAATCGAGGGGAGTTAGGACGGCACTCAGAAATCACTCGTGTTGGTGTATTGTTGGTGATGTTGGCACATGTTGGCAGATGTTGGCAGATGTTGGTATGTATGATTTTGAATCCAGTCTGGCTAAGAATGAACTTGGGAGATGGTTACCGCATGACGACTTGGTCGTGTTCAAGAAGAAAAGCAGTTTTACAAATGAGCAGTGTTCAAAACCGCTATTGGTTGATGTGGTTTCTTTTTTTCTGGTGGGAGTGGGTCTATATGACCCAATATATTGGAGATGATATGAGATGATCATCATCCATGACCTGGGAATCCCGTTCTTAACCAACCAACATGAAATGGAACGAGACTTGGGAATTTTGGATCTTGAGTTTCACGCTGATCAAACCAAGGGTAATGACGGAACGATTTTCTGCACGGTGATCTTTGCTGTATCACCTCCTGGCTTCCGATGTATGGTGCATCGGTTGCTTGCGGCAATCTTGATGGTTCATGTTGATCGCTCAACCAGCCAATTACTCTCTGGTAATTTAACATAGCTATTGAAAATGGCCATTTATAGTGAGTTTTCCCATTAAACATGGTGATGGTATTGAATTTACAGAGCATCAATCTGCGCAGGAAGGGAACAACTACCTCAGAGCCGGAGAACCCGAAAATGCCTTGGATTGCTACCAGAGATCCCTGGCGCTTTTAGGCCGGCTTCAGTTCTCGCATGGCTCCGGAACATCTAGGCGGATGATCGCCGAAATCTCAAGTAAGTTTCACTTCATGACTACTTGAAGACTGAAATTGACTTAAATCTTGTGACGGTTGCAATTTTGATGGTTGTGTTTTTTGTCTTTGGATCTTTGATGGTTGGTAAACCTACGATCAGACAAGGCGGCAAAGAGGCCTCCGGAAGGGAGGCGGCCACAGTGCCGGGCATCTCGGGGAAAGTGGGGGAACATGGGAAGATGTGGTGAAAATGCTGGAAAAAGTGGGTGAAAATGCCAACGACCATGTGATCTGTTGGTGGATGTTGAAATTGTTGGTTTTGTTTTTTTCCTTTTTTAAGGTGTGGGTATGGGTCAATACCTATAGATACATTTTTAGTGGGATGAACATCCATTTACCAGCTATTTTGGGGTTCACCAGGGGTACCAGGGTTTTGACCCATCCCCATGTGACTGGGGAAGGATAAATTGAGAAATCACAGGTGGTAGTACTGGTAGCACGTGGCGAGGTGAACTCGCCAACAAGACATGGTCATGGGAGTACCCTCCGGTTATGTCAACATAGCTATGGAAAATGGCCATTGAAATAGTGAGTTTTCCCATTAAAAATGGTGATTTTCCCATAGCTATGTTAGTTTACCAGAGGGTAATGGGAGTAAAAGCATCAAAACCCAGGGTTCAGCAGGATCCTCTACCCTCCGGTAATCAGCTCCACGGCTTGCTGGAAGATACCCCATGGGGTTCGATGATTTTCCCAGCTTCACTAAGCTCCATTGGGTGAAAGAATTTCCCAGCCAGCCATGTTTGAGGGCCGAAGGGTGACCATTCAACAGCTCATGGCCATGTGTCAGTGAAGTCTCACCAGGATCATCAAAACAATCAGGAGATATCTTTGTCCAAAGAATGGGTTATTTAAATATATTATATAGATCATATATAGATCATATATAGATCATATATAGATCATATATAGAACATATATAGGTTAATCATGCTTAACCCGCAAAAAAGATCGTCAATTCATCTTCATAGGGAATAAATATACCCGTTATGCTTGGAATTCCATTCATAATGGTGGGGCTAGTTTTCATGGGGGCAACAAAAACCAACAAACATCGCTGGGTGACCTCCGTTATTGATTGCTTAAGTCCGGAGAAAACATGATTGTTGATGGTCAAACCACACGTTGTTTATCCATTTTTTTCAGCATCTGTTTCATCAAGAAATGTCGCGCTTTTCGCCAAGGTTGGGCAACATCAGTGCAGCACATGCCAGCCTTCACAATCCGCGCGCTTCTCTGCAGGTCTGTCCAGCAGTGGCTGCGATCTACCCAATCTACCCCTGTTGGTTGATGATTGCATGGGGTTATAATTTATAACTAATGGTGCGATTCAATATATTGAAAGAGAGGGAGGATGAGTGAATGAAAATAATTTATAGAAATGAACAATCCGTTCTCAACCGGTCAGTATCAAGGGACAACAGAGGGTTTGAACATGTTTGAACATTGCTCAGCTGAAGTGACAGGAAGCGAAATACCAATTTCAGTGACCCAAGTACATCTGAATCTGAAAACTAGAGAGGTAGCTTACTCATCCTTCTTGATTTTTCACCTTGGCACCGTCTGTCACTGCATCCAAAGGGCCATGGGCGGGTTGACCACATGATGAAGTCAGTAGTCTTGCTACTTATTTAAGTCATTCTTAATATGACATTTGGCCATCATGAACAAGAAGCATTATCACTTATTATCATTGCTTAAAATGATCGCTATCATTATAGTAACCTCCAAAAAGTATACCCTCTGGTAAACTAACAGTTTGCTATTGAAAATTGCCATTTATAGTTGAATTACCCATAAAAAATGTGATTTTCCATAGCTATGTTAGTTTACCAGAGGGTACAAAACAACAGTTGGAACCGTGGAACTTTTGGGGAAAACAGCAACAAACTACCTACGATACCATCCTGGAAACAGAATTCTCGGCATGTTTCTCTGCGTTGCTAAAAAATTGGAGGGCATCCCACGGATGTAAGCGGTTATATAATACTATATATTTATATTCAATTACATAGATAGATAAATAAATAGATAAATAAATAAATAGTATATATATATGTATAGATACATATGATATGGTCATAACCCATGGGATAACCCACGAAACAGGGACAAATATTTTCACCAGGGACTTGTTCATCGCCAGGCAGCTCGCGCGGCTGGTGTGGCAGATCCCTCGTACAGCAAAGCCCTGTTCCGGGAAGCCAAGGCTGGGATTTTTTCACCAAAAATGAGGTGATTTTTTTTTTAAATGTTTTTTGGGGAGAAATACTACCATTTTTTGTTTTTTTGGGAAAAAATGTGGTGATTTTTCGAAAAAAAAATGGTGGTATATAATAGGGGATGATTGATGGGGATTTCATAAATAAAAATGGAGATTAAGCCTTAACAAGCTGGGAATTTCGCCAAAACGGGTGATTTTTCATCAACATGGTGGTTTTTCATGGGATGGCATGATGTTCAAAATGGTGGCTCAACCGTCCGCCGGTTCCTCATATGGTTGAGGTTGTCCACAGAGGAGGTCATCAATCGATAGGGATTTGTATCCATCATGGGAGGACCATACCCCAAACGTATTTTTGTTAGCTGGAAATCGAGAGGGTGCATCCCTTGGAAATGATCCATCCATTTATGATGGATTGTCCATATCTCTGTGAGTTTACTGGAGCATCCCATGATATTCCAACTGCATTCCAGCTAGCTGTTAGATCTGTTAGTTGTAACGCATTAATGAAATAACGCTATTGGCTTGTTGCTCAAGCCCACATAAAAAATGGTTGCCCCATCATTCATATCTCATCATATCTCATCATACTATATTCTTTATCAAAGTAGAATATCCTATAAATCCATATGCAGTATATAGTATAATTATATCCATGGGGAACATCCATGGGGAAAATCATTTATAAAGCATAATATATTCTATTTTCCCAGCACTTCCCCATGATTTTCCCCATGGTTTTTGACCTATCCCCCGTCTCTCAAGAGGCGCTCCTGGCCCTTCGAGAGCCCAGCGATGCAGTGCGCGCAGCCGGGCACCAAGACATGAGGGATCATCCCATGTAATAACTTGTTCGAAAGTGGTGCTATTACCTATTAATATTACCTAGTAATACCTAGTTATACCCTAGTTGAGCTGTTTGGTTGTACCAAGAATGGGATATTTAAGAACACCAAAATAGATAGAATTAGATAAGACGAACTAACCTCCTGGAAACACCTTTCTATCTTTTTGGTTCGCCACGGAAGAATGTGAAAGTAAAGCAATGTCATAAACCACCACCACCTCGATCATCATCCCACTCATCTGGTTAGTAGATCTAGTGATAATTGGAATATGATATACATAGTATAATCATCCTGAAGTAGATAGAACATTGGAAATGAAATAATAAAAAAAACATCAGTGAAACGGTGAAACGGGAAGAGCCTTGAAAATCGCATCTTCGGTCTACTTCAGGGTGGTTGTATATATATATATAAATTGACCAGTTTTAATGGGATATACATAATCCTTTCTAGATTTGCACATCCCGCATGTGCCAATTTGTGGCGCCATGCCGGCGACTCTTTTGAAAGCGCACTACGCCTAGCTAGGCCATATCTAAAATATCTAAATGGAAACGTTTTCGTTCAGAGTCCTGATGATGTTGTTTTTGTTGCATTAATTATATCATTTCATGATTTCTTATTTCAAAAACAACTCTGAGTCATTAAAAAAACACATTTCAATATAATTATATATTATATATCTAGGTAGTTCATGATAACTCAACAACTTGTGACCGATGGTAATCTTTGAATTCTCAGTGCCACCGAGGCGCTACATCTACTTTTCCTGGCTGGTAGTTCTGCAGGGACGCCCGATTTCCGATAAAATCTCCAAGGTGGTGCATGGCTGGTTGGTTCAGATGGCTAACATAACTCCAATAACTATGGTTTATGGATGTTTATGGCGAAAGAGATATCTATAGTTAGATGGGTTATGATGGAATATAGTTATGAAGATTTTTGACGTAGATCTATTCAGTTTTCTTCCGGATCAGACATGGCTGGAAGAAGATTTAACCAACAGCTCAAAGGTGACTCATCCAAGAAGAAGGGGGTTGTGAACCAGAACCGCCACAATTATGGCGAATCTTAACCATCTATTCTTGGGGTGTCACTTTTGGGCTGGCTGAAGATTTGAAGGATATATCAGCATCGTTGAAAGAGGTTTGTCCAAAAACGGGAGATGGATGGAGATGGCCTAAATGGCATGGCCGCATTGGAATAGGGGAAATGATAACAATTGGAATTGGGGGCAGCCACAACCAGACAAAGCCTAACAGACGGGTGAAGACGGTGAAGACGGGAATTTTGCGGAGACGATCATCCCATTGCTAGGGGTATACCCAATTTCATAAACCCTTTTCAAGGATGGTTTATGGCATAGGTTGACCAACCAACAGAGGTTTCTTGTTGCCTAGGGATCTTAGGGTTTACCTCATCAGATTTGTCATGATTGGTCTGAAAGAGGTTTATTGGAGGTTTCTTATTGGTTTATTCTGAGACTTCGGATGTGCCATCCATTTTCGCTTGGGGACTGGTCGCTGAAGAGCAACCGCACCGGCGAACTGGGACCGCGGGACCGACTTTTCGCCGCGAAGATGGCGTCCTTAACGGTGCAGATGGAGGCATACGCCTTCCGCGAACTCGTGGCACATCTGCAATGGCGAAAGGATGTGCAGAGCCTTGGTTTTTCAAGGCGAAGGGGAGCTACAGATTTGGTGGTGAAAAACCATAGAAGGTTTTCGGAAGAAAACATAGGGACACTATCCTGGAATAATAATGGATGATAATAACTGGTTGGTGGTTTGGAACATTTGGTGTATTTCTATATATTTCTCCATTCAGTTGGGAATAGTAATCCCAACTGACTTTCATATTTTTCAGAGGGGTTGAAACCACCAACCAGACCTTAAGATGATGGTTATTAGGCTTCTAGCTGATAAAATTATCGAACTGAATGGATGATTTTCCAGCAAACCATGTTTGATGACACCGGAGTGTAATGGATACTATAACCTAAAGCGATGTCAATTTTCTGATTATTTTATTTACTTAATTACTTGTTTTTTTGGGGGGGGCCTATAGATGGTGATGACATGTGATGACGGAAGTCAACACTTTCAGGACCTTTACCGGCAACTTCTTGCCCTATAATTGCTTGAATACGTATACATGTTATACATTTATGCAATTTATGCACGTATGTGTTGTCCCACTCAGTTCAAAGATTAAAACTTGTCACCATATGGGTTTGCTTGAACATAGACACCCCACAAATAGTTTAAAATCATTTCTCCCGCAAGACGTTCTCCATTTTGGGATATTCCGATCCCCCATTTTTGGGTACAAAATAAACTAAAACCCAAAACTTTATCCACCATGAGTAGCTTCCCCGAAACACAATTGCTTCAACAACTGGAGGAACATCGATTTAATGAACCTGGCCGGATTTTGCCGGAACTGCATGGCAAAGTGGTATCATGCAGGTGCGAAGGTTCATGGACCCGTGGCTTTATCATTAGCAATCTTTACTTTTTTCATATTGTCTCTTGAACTTTTTTTTTGCTGCATTTTAGTTTTGTGTGCGTTTGGTGTGTGTTGTGTGTGTGTGAGGATGGTCATTAAAAAAAGCAAGGCTTTCTTTCAACAGCATCGAATCCCAGGAGTGCCAATGCAATACGAAGAGGCCTGCGAGCGGGTCTATGGTGAGCCTTACGCAGACTGGAAGAAAAAGAATCAAAAGAAAGCGAGCAGCTCGGCGTCGAACTGAGCTATGGGCACCTCATAGCTCGGATCCAGTGGTTTTTTATCATCAATCAACAGTGATTGATAACTAGGGAAGTTCGGCTAAGATTTTTGTCCGTCAATCCTAAGAAGCATAAGATTCATTTATAAAATATCATAAAATCATAAGAATTCACTGGCTATTCAGTGGTTGATAGTTAAGGTAAATGAAGCCTCGGACAGCCAAGGTTCCACTTCTCAGGTGAGGATGACGGGATGATGATCCCTCAGGCTATCCCAAGGTTTCATCATCCCGGACTCCAACATGTTCCCATCTGGTTGGTGGTTTGGAACATGGCTTTTATTGTCCATAATACATTAATATACATTAATATGATTTAGTATATGGGATAATTCTTCCCATTGACATCCATTGACGAACTCCATCATTTTTGAAGATGGTTAGAACCACCAACCAGTTATTTATGCCAAATTATGCCAATCTGAAAGGCCAATGGTCTCCATCATGCCCTAGGAATTCACGCCGTTTTCATTGGGGTGGGCCCCCGGTCATCTCCCAGAAGAGTTAGATGGGGCATCATGACATCATGTAGGAGGAATTTAATCATAGGATCATTGGAGAATGCTTCCAGGCTTGTGGATTGCACCGTTTCGACGTGTTGTTGGGGTTGATTTGCAGATCAAACCCATGGTTATATATATAATGATATAATATAATATAGTATAATATAATATAATATAGTATAATATAATTTAATATAATATGATATAATATAATATAATATAATATTATTTATAATATGTAATAATTAATATATAATATATAATATAATATAATATTATATTATTTATATAATATTATTTGATATATGTATAATTAATATATATATATATGGTTTCTGTTTCCAGAATGGTCCAGATCCCCTGCAGTCAACTTGCAGGCGAAGATCAGCTGGCAGTCTTCGAGTCTGGCAAGGAGGGGTCATGGCGGTTTGCGCCGGCTGAGGGGACAATCTCTCAACTTACTGGTGCTTAGTAGGGAATGAGGGAATGATCCATTATCACTAGTAATAATCATCCCATTCCCCCATTCCCATCCATTCCCTGCTAAGCACCAGTAAGTCAAAGTTTACAAGTTGCTAATGGCAGGAAAAGAATAGATCTACCAAGCCTTCAGCCTTCAGCTTGACTGCTGATCTCCTGAGATGGCGATGGAGACAGAAAGTATAAATGCTTTAGAAATCTGAGCGAACATGCTCCTCTTTTTTGGGAAACCATTCCCACTGATATTCGATACTGGCTGTCACCCGTGGTTTCCCAGTGAGGCTTTCGGACCATTGGACCATGATCTGATGGGATGTTTCGACCGACCATTATCAAGGCCATCTTAGGCTATAGAATCAATGCTTGGCTGTTCCACATTCCCAATGCTTGCTTAGTACCATTTAAAACCGATTCTTTTTCAACTTCAAACACATATCAACACATCGTTTCAATCATATCCAAAAAATGATTCGACATCCATGTTTTAAAAATACAGCAACCCCAGACATAGAAAAGTTGGAAATCTGGAAATTATGGAACTAACATCATCGAACTACGATCCTGGAACTACGTGTCCATCTTTTTTTTGGGGTTGCTATACATATCCCACGATCATTCCCATCAAAAAGTTGATTAAATCACAATTTTTGCTTGTGAAATCCCAGGAAATCACCACAAAATTCCACTGATTCCAGTTTATAAGTTCCGTTAAAAAGAAAACACTAAATCACCAAGAAAGTCCGGTAAGGAAGTCCATTAAATCCCCATAAATTCCATGACATCCCCAGTTTTCTGAACCAAACCCGGTAACCCCTGGTCGCATCAGGACCTCCACGCACGGACAGAGCCCAAGCTGCTGCCAGGAACAGAGGCGGCGCCGGGACATTCCAACGTCTGTGGACAGGGCTGCGATGCGCCAGCCGTGCCGGTGCCCGGGATGAACGGGAAATTTAACTCGGAAAGTATGGGGGAAGCAGTTGAAACATGTTGAAACCATAGGGTCAGCGGATTCAGGTAGTGAGAAGTTCTAACTCCAGCTGTGAGGTATGGCAGGTAGAAATATCGGTTTGGTGAATTGTAGCAACATGCAAACATCACTGGGGTGGACCACCTCGAAGCCATTCTTTCTTCGGATTACGAAGAAACTGCATGGGAGCCCAATCAACGGACAACTGCCGTTTAAATCCTGAGTTCCGGGGTAAAAATCAAGACGTGGATGATTCGAACCCAATTCTAGTTGGTTTCTTTTCTCAGGGATGTGTAGGACGCATGGAAAATGCAGGGAACAAACCGTAGGGACATGCGAGTGCTTCCCCGATGCAGTTTTTTGTGCCAGATGCCTATTCCCTGGCGCTTCACGGAGGAATCTCTGAACAAACCTAGATTGTGCTTCGTTGGTTGTGTTGGCTATGATTGGTTATGACTGGTTATGGTGTGTTATTGTTGATTTCTTGAATTTACGGCATGTTCACCCTCTGGTAAACTAACATAACTATGGAATATCACCACTTTTAATGGGTTAATCACCTATCAATGGGCCATTTTCCAGTTCGCAAACTATTAGTTTACTAAGGTTTACTAGAGGGTTTTTTGTGCTTGATAATCCACCTGTAAGCCATATGTCATCCCATAGGCTTGGGGATATTATATATACCATCTGATTATTTAACATAGCCATGGAAAATCAACCTGTTTAATAGGTAAACCATCGATTTCTAAGTTCTATTATATGGGCCATATATTAACCAGAGGCTATGTTAAATAACCAGAGGGTATAACTGTGGGTATAATATGGTATAATCATGTATAATCCATACCCTCTGGTAAACTAACATAACTATGGACAATCACCATTTTTAATGGGAAAACTCACGAACTAAATGGCCTTAAATGGCCATTTTCAATAGCCATGTTAAATTACCAGAGGGTATATTACTGGGGACCTTTCACATCCCAACATCCATTGACCATGGCCAAGGCTGCAGTGTCCGCCGCCGGCGCCACAGCCGCGAAGATTGCGGTGCTGACTGCGTCGGACCGCGCGGCGGGCGGGGTCTATGAGGATAAGTCCGGACCTGCAGTGGTAGAGATGCTGAAACTCTTCAGCGACCCTTGGAGTTAAGTTGACAAAATGCAGCAAAATATGCAAAAATAAGGGGAATAGATAGTTTGTTTGTTGAATTAGGATGTTTTTAATCAATGGGCCATCATGATTAGTTAATGACGCATTAGTGCTTGTTTATCATCAAAGGAAGTTGGGAAGCAATACTTCCGAGTTACGAATGACTTTTACTTGATGGAATTGACTATGATGAAGGGTGGTACGTGATCTAACAATACATAGCATAACAATACACAACAAAAGAATAAGAAGCGGTGGAATTGACCTTGATGAAGAGTGGTGACAATGACGGGGTGGTGACGAAGGGAAGTGGTAACGATGGGAAGTGGTGACGAAGGGAAGTGGTGACGATGGAAAGTGGTGACGAAGGGAAGTGGTGACGAAGGGAAGTGGTGACGATGGGAAGTGGTGACGAAGGGAAGTGGTGACGAAGGGAAGTGGTGACGAAGGGAAGTGGTGACGATGGGAAGTGGACGGAGGGAAGTGGTGACGATGGGAAGTGGTGACGAAGGGAAGTGGTGACGAAGGGAAGTGGTGACGATGGGAAGTGGTGACGAAGGGAAGTGATGATGAAGGGGAATGGTGAGGAAGGGAGGTGGGGACGATGGGAAGTGGTGAGGAAGGGAAGTAGTGAGGAAGGGAAGTGGTGACGATGGGAGGTGGTGACGATGGGAAGTGGTGACGATGGGAAGCGGTGAGGAAGGGAAGTGGTGAGTTGGGGAGGAAGCCGGAGCACGAAACCTTGTGTTTTTCCGTGTAAAGTGGCTGCAGCCGGCGATGAAAGGTACCTCGTCTGTGCGGCGGTTGCGGCTGGGGTCGTTTCTGTCGCGAATTGTTCCTCCTATGTGTTTTGCAACAATGGTTGTTCCTGTGTGCGTAGTTCTATGCATTTCTTGAAGCTGTGGTGCCAGATCGCATTGGAATGGCTGCGTGATTGTTGTCATTTGGTGTTGCCATCCGTAGATAGGTGCAGGTATGCTACGGGATGCTGCGAAACGCAGTGTAATGGCTGCATGAATGTTGCATGGGCTATGTTTTGGGGAGGAAGCCGGAGCACCAAACCTTGTGTTTTTCCGTGGAAAGTGGCTGCAGCCGACGATGAAAGGTACCTCGTCTGTGCGACGGGTGCGGTCGCGAATTGTTCCTCCTATGTGTTTTGCAACGAGTGGTTGTTCCTGTGTCCGTAGTTCTATGCGTTTCTTGAAGCTGTGGGCTGCGAAACGCATTGTAATGGCTGCATGAATGTTGCATGGGCTATGTTTTGGGGAGGAAGCTGGAGCACGAAACCTTGTGTTTTTCGTGTAAAGTGGCTGCAGCCGGCGATGAAAGGTACCTCGTCTGTGCGACGGGTGCGGCTGGGGTCGTTTCTGTCGCGAATTGTTCCTCCTATGTGTTTTGCAACGAGTGGTTGTTCCTGTGTGCGTAGTTCTATGCGGTTCTTGAAGCTGTGGTGGCAGATCGCATTGGAATGGCTGCATGATTGTTGTCATTTGGTGTTGCCACGTCCGTAGATAGGTGCAGGTTTGCTACGGGATGCCCCGAAACGCAGTGTAATGGCTGCATGAATGTTGCATGGGCTATGTTTTGGGGAGGAAGCCGGAGCACGAAACAGTGTGTTTTTTCGTGTAAAGTGGCTGCAGCCGGCAATGAAAGGTACCTCGTCTGTGCGGCGGTTTGCGGCTGCTGGGTCGTTCTGTCGCGGAATTTGTCCTCCTATGTGTTTTGCAACGAGTGGTTGTTCCATGTTGTTCCTGTGTGCGTAGTTCTATGCGCTTCTTGAAGCTGTGGTGGCAGATCGCATTGGAATGGCTGCATGATTGTTGTCATTTGGTGTTGCGACGTGCGTAGATAGGTGCAGGTTTGCTACGGGATGCTGCGAAACGCATTGTAATGGCTGCATGAATGTTGCATGGGCCATGTTTTGGGGAGGAAGCCGGAGCACGAAACCTTGTGTTTTTCCGTGTAAAGTGGCTGCAGCCGGCGATGAAAGGTACCTCGTCTGTGCGGCGGTTGCGGCTGGGGTCGTTTCTGTCGTGAATTGTTCCTCCTATGTGTTTTGCAACAATGGTTGTTCCTGTGTGCGTAGTTCTATGCGTTTCTTGAAGCTGTGGTGGCAGCTCGCATTGGAATGGCTGCATGATTGTTGTCATTTGGTGTTGCCACGTCCGTAGATAGGTGCAGGTTTGCTACGGGATGCTGCGAAACGCAGTGTAATGGCTGCATGAATGTTGCATGGGCTATGTTGTGGGGAGGAAGCCGGAGCACGAAACCTTGTGTTTTTCCGTGTAAAGTGGCTGCAGCCGGCGATGAAAGGTACCTCGTCTGTGCGGCGGGTGCGGCCGGGGTCGTTTCATGCGCGAATTGTTCCTCCATGTTCCTCCTATGTGTTTTGCAACGAGTGGTTGTGTCTGTGTGCGTAATTCTTTGCGGTTCTTGAATCTCTGGTTGCAGATTGCATTGGAATGGCTGCTTGATTGGCAGCTATCTGGACAACCTCCGCGCGGTGGCTGCGGGTCTATGCATTGCTGATGGGCCCTGGCAGTGCTTAGAAACGAATTGTTCAGATGTGGTGCTTGCAAGTTTCGATTTGCTTCAGAAGATTTGGGCTGTGTCTTCAAAAGAGCGGAACGCACTGATGCATGCCATGCATGGCAATGGTGCAGGAAGCAGAGCAACAGCTCGCAAAAGGAAACAGAAACAAAGCAATAACCAAGCAAATGGCTTCAATTTGCAACAAGCAGGTGAGATTCTCAAACTACTCTCTCAGCTTTTCCAATTGTTGGGACTCGGGGGTGGCGGTGGGAATTTGCTTCAACAGCTCAGTGCTATGATGGGCCATGGCGGGTGTGCCAAACCCAAGAAGCTTAAGAACAAGAACAAAAATAAACAGGGCGGTGATGGTGGTCTGGGGGATTACGGCCAAGGGGGTGGTTCTTACCCTTCTTCTCCTCCTACTCAGCCTCCGCAGAATACTTCGAAACCACATCCTAAGCAAAAGGCGGACGTCCAAAAACAGCCACACACAGAGCAGCAGCCCCACAAAACGCCCAAGACCTTTGCCGAAGTGGTTCGAGCCAACACTGCGTTTAAGCCGGTGTGGAGCCTGCGTCAGTCAGACTGGACGGGGCCCATTTTGGGCTTTGATGACTTTTGTGTCGCACTGGATAAGCCTGGAAATATTTCAGCTACAGCGCAAGTGAACTCGGAAGAGCAACTTGAGGAGTTGCAGGTTTTGCTGAAAGGCGATTCCCCTGATATCAAAAGAGAGCTCAACATCACAGCTGTGATGCTAGCGCCGAAAGAGGCCAAGCAGACTGAGGAGGATCGACCTTTGCGGATGGTGCCAGGAAAGATCTCGGGCAAGGTGCAGCCCAGGCAGGCGTTTGTGATCCCACTTCAAGGCCAAGGGCCATCACTCAAGAGAGCTGCCGTTGTGTCAGCGGCTCCTGCAGTGCAGCCTGAAACTGTTGTAGTGAGATTAAGTGTTGATGCAAAATATTTGCAAAACAAAGAGTGGCAGAGCATCCAGGCCAAGCCAAAGGCAAACGCGCAGGCTTGGTTGCATCGGCATGTTCCAGAGCATGTTGCGGACAAAGTCTTTGATATGTGGGCGTTTCAGCAAGAAAGCATGAAAGGCGGAGGCAAGCCAGTGATCACTGGCCTTTTACGCATTGAGCGAAGTGCTGCCAAAGCTCTTCTAGGCTGCTCAGGCAAAAGTACCTGGTTTGTGGAGCCTTTGCAATGGAACAACTCCGTGATTGAATCTTGCGATGTTGAGTGGGTCAAGAAAAGTTCGGAACTTGATGGGCCCAGCTACTTGCAGAAGGTTCAGTCCATGGCTGGTGACCTGGGCATTGCCCGGGGATGGAGTGGACTGGGAGTACGTAAGCCCAGGAGCGCCGAGCCTCCTCCTAAGGCCAGAGCTTGGCGCGTCACTGGTGTTCCGCGAGATTGGGCGGCTAGTACCTTGACTCAGGAACTTACACGTGCTGGCCTGACTGAACTCAAGGTATTGTCCCGGAAAACTGTGGGCAAACAAGTGGAATGGTGGGTGCAGGCCAATGCTCAAAAGGATATGGATTTCATTGAAATTCAGGCTGGCGAAAAAGTCATTGTAGCTGTTGAAGCTCCAAGACAAAGACGGCAGAGAACACATACCATGAAACTGGCTAGCAATGGAAGGGTCAGTTATAACCAGAGCCATGCATGGCAGGCGATTGCCACGCCTGCTCCTCGCAAATCTTTCTACATGGGAACGCCAGTCAAAAAGCCAGTGACTATTGCAGGGGCTGAGAAGGTTCCTGCTGAGAATTTGGACGAGGACAAGTCGGACGCAAAGATGGACAATGCTGGAGAACCCGCTGGGGCAAAAAGAACTGTCAGTACTCCTGAAAAGAGTCCTCCGGCCAAGCGTGTTGCGGGGGAACCCAAGCCCCCTCACAATATGAAGGTGAAAAGCATCCCTGCTGACGGCAACTGTCTTTTTGAAGCCCTTGCTCAAAGTTTGGGCGGAAAAACAGCCAGGAATGTGCGTGCAAGCGTTGTCACCCACCTGACCAAGCACCAGGGTCGTTACAAGCCCTGGTGGGACGGCAAGGAGCCAACAGAGGCGGAGAATGCTTGCGAATCATGAGAGAGCTATCTCACCATGCTCTCAAAGATTGGTGCTTGGGGCAGTGCTCTTGAAGTTTCTGCTGCGGCTGTGCACTATGATCGCCCGATCATTGTCTTCCAACCTCGTGGGGTTCCGGAGATTTACAATGGTCGTGGCAAGGGTGGTGCTCCCATCGCTTTGTGGTTTCGTTCAAAGCACTATGAACGACTTGAAGGTGCTTTCCCTCCTGAAGTTTTGACTCAGGCCGCAAATGGTCCAATGCAGGGCAACAGAGGTGGAGGATCGGAATGTGGCGCTACTTCAGTTGGTGCCACCAGATTGTCAGCTTTGCCGTCACTGGTTCATAGCAACAATAAACGTGGAAGGTGTGCTAGCCCCGCGCCCG